TCTTTCCCTTTTATAATGTCACACAAATCAGGGACAGTGGAATCACATAATAACCTACTTTGCTGTAGAGATTTACATCTTTCTTAGGTCAAATCATGTTTCCTAAAACCCAGCTAGGGCATGCACTAAATACCTAATACATACCTGTACATATACCAGGTATTGGCCCTGCACCTTGTACCAGCAATATACAAAGTTTAACTAGGTAGGAGTATTGAGTGGATACAATTGCAGTAAGTTATGCTGATAAAGTTATTATACTTTGTTCTAGTTAGAGTTCAGGCCTCTATAATGGAGCATGCACATTTATTTAAACAATCATGGTAGATCTAGAATAACTATGAGAATTCTGATAGCCTTACTGCAGCACTCTGTGTAGAACAATGAAGGAGATATTTTGTGGTCTCATGACCCATTCTATTTTACATTGTTTCATCCATTACCAGCATCAGAATCTTCCTTCCAGGTCATTTACTAAATATTGTTGAAATGTTTAAAAGCTCCTGTACATGATTAGTGATTAAGATATTATACAACTGCTAAAAACCTTGTTAGAGAACTTTAGATATTTACTGTTGGCCTCAGAATGTAACAGAAATTATTTTAAGAGCTTTCTTTTCAGCTGTCTTAACTACGACAAATAAATATTTGTTTTAAGTCAAAAAAGAAAAACCTTTCAGTTTTATTGTAAAACTTGAAGCTTGAAGTCATATGAATAAATCAATAGAATAAATCAATGTATTGTACATAATACAAAAATTTTAATAGTGAATTTAAAATTTTGAAAATTGCTATTATCAAAGAATTTTCGTTCATGTGTTTAAAATGTTTAGTCATGCTCCTTATTAACCAAAAATAGTAGTACCATTCAGTTTAGTGATTATGAGAAACAGTATCTAATCTGATGTTGCTATTATATTTTTCTCTAGTTGGCGTGCCTGCTCAGAAGAAAACATATATATCAAAACATATAGTAAAAGTCAATTCATATATTTTTATATAAGAAAATGGAGGTATAATTTTCCCTATCTCCTCTAACATTTAGCTGCCTATAGTAAAGTGATCACGTTAATGGGTAACTCCTAGAACTGTAATTTCTGAAATTGGCAGCCCTTTTTCTAAAATAATGGCCATGTTAATGATTAGCTTCCGTCCCAGCCTTATTTCCCTGGATTGGCAGCCCTTTGTCTGAAGTCCTGAAGACTTCCCCCCACATTCGTTGAAATTTAATTGCTGAATAGTGATCCTTTAAAGCTGGAACTATAACAGTTTTCTTGCAAATAAGTGATTTTCTGCTGTTGATACTGAATAATATATCTTTTACTCTCAGTTAATTTCTTTATATGTATTTCAGAAAGCATGAATCATTATTCACAATTTGCACACTGTAACAGTAGATTTTCAGAGGAAATAAAGACTGTTTTCAATGCCTTTCAGGTGTGGTATCCTATTTTTTGCATATTAAAATTTCATACATATGTCAAGAAATTCAAGATTGTCTTGGGCTTGATTTATTTTTTGATATTAGGCTATTATTTGAGTAGTTAATTGTCCAACTTTATTAGGTTTATTTCCAGTCTTCTGCCAACTCTGTTAAGTTTCTGAGGAAAGCTATCAAATAATACATGTATTTAATGTACTTAGCAAATGGTTCTAGATGCCAGCACTAATAGTAATATCAAACAAAGGTAAAAGGGACCTTATTCTGTTGAAATCAGCGTTGAGGAAGCTGTGAGGCATGGGTTATGACTTTACAAGTACATCAATTGCCTACCTACTGTTTTCACATCTCACTTAGAGGAAGAGAATATTTTTATATTTATTTGGTGAATAAGAACCTGAAATATTTTTCTCTGAGGTGTTTGAGTCCCCAACAGCTTACTTGCAATAGACAAGAGACTGATGATATTCTTTTTATGCAGAAATAATTCATTGAACTGTGATTTGTTTTTGAATCAAATAATTAAAGCAGAGTGACATTTTCTGTCAATTTCAAAGTAGTTTCTAAAGCTCCTCAGACTAGACACATTCAAAAGATAACAGGACTCTTTCAGAACTGGCGATTTATCTGTGAGATTATTAATAAATCAAGTTTAAGAAAGATAAGGTTAATTGAATTTTTAAACAAGTAGCTGTATTATCCTTCAAGCTCCTTGGAGCTCATATAATATTCACACTTTTTTTAAAACCAGTGCTTTAATATGTTTGAATTCTCCTCTTTAATGGTGGCTTTTTTAAAGCACCAGTTAAGTGATTTAACACTTAGCATCCCAAGTCACATTTTAAAGGCCACTTTTCTTTTCACTAATGCACAGTTTAACTGTAGGGCTGCAGTGAGATGCCCTTGCTCTACAAGTTGCCACGTCTGCTCATTCTGGTGATGATGACTTTTAGGACCATTTGACAGGTAATCATTAGAACTTGGATTCTAGTAGACTGTAGAGTCTTTGCCTATGACTGCAGGGGGATTTATGCTGGTAACTCCTATTAATGTTAATAGGACTTGCATATGTAAATCCTCCTCCTATCAGTGGGATAGTTGACCCCTATAAGAAATATTCTTTACAGCTATCTACTCTCATCGACCTAGAAGCATCAGTATATTCTATTCAGGATCTTCCTGTGTGTGTTTGTGTGTGTGTGTGTTGGGGGAGGGGGCAAGAATGTATCAATTCATTGGAAGATTTTTTGGTAGATATTGGAGAGATGAAATATCAGCTCTTATTATTCTATTCCCATTTCCTTCATTTTTAAAAAATTCATGATAGAGCCACATGTGTGCTCAGGTGAAAGAGAGATCAGCACCTGTGGAGGGTTCCACAGGATCTCGTCATGCCATGATCCCCTTCTTCCACATGTGCCTGGCATGTTTGAGGCTGACCAGGCCAGGAATTAAGACCACAGCACCGTATGGGATCTGACTCATTTTGAGTATTACAATACCTCTGTACCACAAAGCTGCCATCTATTCCTATTTTAAAATATATGTTAGAAACTATTGTTTTATCACCATGCATGTTTTTCTCTTTTCAAAATTAAAATAATTTTTATCCAGGATTTCATTAAAATTAAACTTTAGGACTGGCCCTTTCCTACAGTGATTAATAAGGGAGTCATATTCCACATGGCTGACTGCAGTTCCAGTGTTGGCCCCAGTGGCTCAAAGACATGCCAGGTGTGTATATATCCAAAATCCTAGGGGAAGGAGAAATGGAGGAAAAAGATTGTGGTGTGACCACATCCCATTGAGGGGTGTTTTTATTCTCTTTCTCTGGTGAATGGTTGTTCCCACTAGCAGTAAAATAAATTTTAATGTTCCAATGCTATCCTAAAAGCTCTGGATATGTTGAATGTTTCAGAGCTATGTCATAATACATATTCTTATAATCAGGGAAATGAAGATCGACCCAGGAGATACATTTTGTTTATCAAGTTGACAGAATCCAAAGATTACTAATAGCAGGTGATAAAGTGTGTAGGAGAAAGGCATTCACATGCATTGTAAGAGTATATTGGTTGCAGTCTTTTTAAAGGACAATTTGGCAAAATCTATCAAAACTTTAAATGCAGGTAACCTTCACCAAACACTTCCACTTCAAAAAAATCTATACACTTGGATTTGTATATAATATCTATGAGGGAACCTCAAAAAGTTCATAGAAAAATAGAATGAAAGTAGGAGTTTATTTGGGGACAAAAAATGAAATCTATTAATAGTTTTTTCATAATGTGCATTTTCCATACATTTTTGAGAACTCTTAATACTTGTATACTATTCTTTAAGCAGGCATTCCCAATTTTCAGGCCATGGACCATTGCTAGTCTGCCGGCTGTGCAGTGAGTGGGTAGGAGGCTGGATAGCAAGGCTTTGCCTGTGTTTGTAGCCACTCCCCATCACTTGCATTGCCACTTGGACTCTGCCTCTTATAAGATCAGCAGTGTTATTGGATTCTCAAGGGAACACAATCCATATTGTGTGGTTATTTCATTGTATTAATATATTTTAATATATTTTTGTGGAAATGAGAGTGGTACATGGTGGATGTGGTGTGCTTAGATCATCCTGGGAGAGAATCACCATCCTTGCTCCTGCTGCGGATTGTTTTCCATAAGGCCAATCCCTGGTGCCAGAAAGGTTGCAGACCATTGTTTTAAAGTCATTCAATTCTTCATATAGATACACCAACAATTCAGTATATGGTTATGTTAACTGGTTTCAGCTTGTTTTCACATTTTAGCAATTACTTTGGTTTCAAAGTCAAAACTGTTACTGCTGAATGGTTCTTGGTGTCCACCGACAAAGAAAGACCAAGACCAGAAGATATGCAGATAGTATAGAAACTTTATTTGGCTAAGCAATGCAAAGCACACTCTCAAGAAGAGAGACTGGGCAGACTGAAGTCAGATCAGTTAGCCCAGGGATTATCTGGATGGGTTTGATTTATGATGGCTCTGGTTCCCTCTCCTGGTCTCTCACCTAGGTGATCCCTCTCCTTTCCTCATGGGAGCATCTTTGATTGATGGGTAGGGGTTTACATAACCTACACACTTCTATGTGTGCACTTTCTCAGAATGCATCATGACAGCCCACAGAGATGGAGATAGAGGTCAAAACCACAATGCTAATAATACATGCTAAGTGAGCACAGGTAACTTAAGGACATGCCACCAACTTTGGGAAAAGGAATAAGGTTTGGCCTTGAGGCACGGCAAGCAGGGTTTGGCCTTGAGACACAGTAGGAACTTTCCCATAAAGTGGCTGATACCTTTTCTATCAGTAATTGTTGACTATGGGTTGGATGATCCAGATGGGACTTTCTGTGGTAGTGGTTGGGGGGAGGGGGTATCCCAACCTGCTCATGTCTGCTCCCTGGCAATACTACAAAACAAGATACAAAGAGATCTAGCTTCAACTTCTGTGCTCTGCCACTTTCCTTTCCCATTAGTTTGCCATTTTAGCATC